ATTAAATTCGATGGCTGGTACATCTAGAAAACCTGTTTCCAAAAGTAAAATTTCACACGATAATTTTTGCAAAACACATGTACATAAATAATACATCTGATCACTGTAAAAAACAGTGTGTGCATAATACAGTCTATTCTAACAATACATGTACGTGCCAACTGAAAGTGCACCCTCACTAACAAAGAATAGTCAGGCTGGTGGGAACTTTATCAACTCGGCTCTTGCATATGCCCAGCACATACATATGGAGACCATACATTTGAACAGAAATTGTTCATGCATACTGAGTGCATTTAGGGCCAAATGTGCATGAACCTGTGCATGCAGGTGTTGAGTTCCCAGAACGCCCTCTCTTGTTCCCGTTGAGAGTGGATAGTTGATCATAATGGAATACATGTAATTGATCATAATGGATAGGGCCAGGTTTGGATGAAATAAAACAGAAAGAGGCATTGTATCCCTGGACAGAAAACAAACGTCGAATTAACAGGTGTGTGTCCTGATTGAGCATCAAACGTGAAACACAAAGAAGATCCGTAAACTCTTCCGTAAACCAGTCACGCAACTTTGATCGTCGACATGAAAACAGAACGTGTAGGAATGCAACTAGGAATTCAGAATAAATTGGTAATTCCAAACTGCATAAGACAGCATGACATTTGCCAATCTTTGATGACATACACAAATACAAAATCAAGGAAACTAGCTGAGCTACGGAGAATGTGCATGGAATGCACCTGCATCTATACACAATACATGCCTATGAAAATCATAGTCCTGCTGGCTGTCCACACAGGAAAACAAGCTAGCCATTATGCTTTGAATAACAGCAAATGACAGTGACTTCTCTGCGACGTATTCCAATCTAAACCTGTCTTGTTAGTCAAACTGCTGTGTCTGGCTGTATACTGGGTGCAACTCCAGTCGCTGAAACTGAAGATCTTCAAACAGCTGTGAAAGTATCACGCCCAGATTCTGCCTGTTAAAGGAATGGACCAGGCTGGTCCCAGAGGAACTTGATCTTGGTAACAAGCTTGGTTAATCCCTCATTAGAAGTACGGGTGTGTGACCGGGGAATGTTGCCTGAGACCCCTGTAACCCCGGTCCAGTTCGTCATCGCTCTGTAGATAAAAAAAAGGGAAAGAAAGAAAATGGCATCATCGCTGATCAATAAGGCCTTGTAATCGAGGACGCTGATGAGCCATGCAGAAAGAGTTGTCAGTCAAAAGTATTTGGAAGTAGGGACAATGGATTTTGTGCTTGAGGCTCATGATACTTTAAAACAGTGAGTTGGCCAGGGGTGTATGACACACCTACCAACAACGAAAAAAGTCTGCAATCGAAGCACCCATTTTACGAGCTTATAGCAAAACCAACAGCCATGTGAGAGAAGCTAGTTTACATATACATGTACATACATGTACATGTATGTATGTGTAAACAACTGCTATGTTGACAAAGCACATGTAGCAATCTCTTATTTCTGCAAATAGCGCCCTCTTTTTTCTGAACTATAGCACCCTGTTTTGCTTGGACTTTTTTAAATTATGGAAATCCTGACGTTGTAATTTTCATTGTCTGAAAACTGAAAAATTGGAAGAGGTCCGATTAAATTGGAATAGACGGCCTTATGGTATGGCATGCAACAACTTGGGTTTGGCCAAAAAAAGCCATGGATTGGAATAAAAACAGCCTTATTTCAAACTGGAAAACGTACATGTACAATGATCATGGTAAATCAACCATGGTCACATGACAAAGCTCATCATAACTCACATAATGGTTGTATCCTCTGTCTCGTAACGGTGGCAGAGCTCTCTGGTTGTAACTTTGATGTTGTTCACCCATGCGAAGGCGTAACGATTCCTTTTGTTTCCCCCATTCACGTGCTTTCTCCATTAACTACAAATACAACAAGTGCTATAGATTACTAAACAGAACTGGGTTACTCTGCTACAGGTATGCCTCACCTCCAAGTGCAATTGTGCACTATGGAAGAAACACACCGCACGAACATTAAGTTACTGGTACCAAGCAATGCTTTACTGAACCAAGCTATTGCAAGAGACCCAACTGTAGCAATGTCACACTTCATTTACATCATGCTCTCCTATAAAGGTTTGATGGACCATATCACTGTCCCACCTTACTGCCACAGGAAAGTGTACATGTAACACAGAGCCTGACCTCATTATGTTATATCCGCCCCGAGTTGAAGTGCACCCCCAAGCGGCAAAAGAAAGACAGATGGTAGTAAGTTTTCCAAGCGGGTTTTTGCACGCATTCTGCGTAAACGCAAAGACCATACATTAAGGAATAAATTGGTTGCGTGTACTCAGCGCGCTCCGCGTCAAACGCGCCACTGATCTCCATTATAAATGCGCGCCTATGCGGTGAGTACTAAAAAACACCACGCCCTCTTTTGTTCCACTCGGAGCGGATAGATCTATTTACCCCAGGCATATTTCCACAAGGAACACCAAATGTTAACTTGCCTTCTGCTGCTATGATTAATCATGACACTTTACATTTACAAAAAAACATACAATAGCTAGTCAGAAAAATATGAACAACACTGCCTGTAAGATGCTCTATCTTTACTGTGCATTTATAAATATATTTAAGATTCAAATTTCAAAAATCACACTTCTAAATATTGTCAAGGCAGACACAAATTTAAAATAGTCTCATTACAGTCCAAGATTTCGACTAGCACCTTGTCTGCTTTGAATGTGTTACATTCTGATCAAGGAAATAAGTCCCAACTATATTGGACAAATTCCTATTGAAAATTCCTCAATCTTCTCCAAGTTTTTTAAAGCTCACATCCGACAGAAATCATCCAAAATAGCCAATGTGGCATTCAATCTATAACACAAAAACTAGGTCTAGCCAGCACGAGTTACCGGCATAAACAAAATGACATTGGCACATGCAGTCCCACACACCATGCACACTGGCACTCTATGCTAAAGAATGCTGAATTGAATACATCACAGGCACACAAATGTCTGTGTAAAAAGCACTAGCATGAGTACCAGGCCATAAACCAACACATGCGTATACTCCATCCGTTTGCACTGCACTTTCTGGTTCAAAATGACGCCACACTTCGGTGCTCTAGAGGTGGGACCGTCCCAATTAAGGTTTGGACAGATGCTACAGTTGGTGCGTAACAAACCCATCTGAAGTGCATCAGGATTGAAGTGCGACCAGACTCCCATCCTACCTCTCTCTCCAGAGACTGTATCCTGCTCTTCGATTTCTCTAGCTGTAGTTGCATCATCATCTTCTCTGCATCGCTGTTCCTTGAGGCCTGCGAGGAAACACAGTCGCATGTCACACTCTGTATACATGGCCAAGTAAACTAGTTTGGAGTCCCCAACCATTTCCTTTTGGCAGACTATCCTCGTTCTTTGTTTTAGTGTTTGCTTTTTATGTCAAGGTCGCTGTGTGTATTTCAGTTTTTATTTGTTCCTCACAACCTGTAGCTATCACGTTTTCATGAAACATATGAAGAGGAAGCTCCTTTTCTTTAGACACAAAATTATCAGCAAAAGAGTGCAGAAGATCCATTCAGCATCTTGGAAAAATCTGCTATGTTAAAAGAAAAAGTAGCTGCTTCATCCATTCTTAAAACCTTGACAAAAAACTGATTATTGTCTTTATCTGGCCTTAACTATAAAAGCTCATAATTATCTCTTCAGTATGTAACATCTTCCATGTTGTTACATACGTACCTTATTTGCCGATTCCACTCGGATTTGCTCTATCTGCGCCTTCAATCTGGCATTTTCAGCAGCAACAAGGTCAACCTCGTTCCTCCTTGCATCTAGCATTCACAAAATGACAAGAAAAGTCAATGTGAGCGCTCACTCCAAATGGGTACCTTAAACTTGTAAACTTCTCAGAAAGGACATGAAAAAGAAACAAAAGTCTTGTAAGCATTCCCGGAAAAATGTACACTTACTAGTTATTCATTTTCAAGTATCTGAGATATCCTGAATTTTCAAATTCACTGGAGATAACTTTTCCATGATCATTTCCTCACTCCAAAGCTCATTGCACATTTTCCTTCTCTCAACTTCTTCACCGTTGAAACCTCAATTAACCAGCTGCACTAAACCTCAGGCATTTTCCTTCGTCATCTCCCTTTACCTCTTGTATTCATTTCTGTTCCTTTTATTTTTCTTGTTCATTTTTCATTTTTTAATGGGGGGGGGAAGTGCCGCCTTGCCCCCTTGTGAAGACCATTGTTACATCACGTCAAAGTTGTCTCTGGAAACAACCTCATGTGACTGGGCTCTTACCCATCATCCCTTACCTTCTTGCTTGGCATTCTTGGGCCGTTTACTCAGGAGCAGTTTCTCCATCTTCTCCAGGGCTTTCTCCTGCTCTCTGCACGTCCTCTCCAGTTTCTTGATCTTCATTTGTTTCTCCTGCAAGGCGTTGGCCTGAGCTGACTGGGCATCCTGCTGGCTCAGGTACAGCTGCTCACGGTCATTTTGCTATGGCACCAACATCAAATAGAAACACTACCGACACTACTCTGGGGATGTTCCCTCCAGACTTACTGGGACTAAGTGACTGGAAATTGTACTCGATAAATAAATGCTGCTAACAACACTTTTTAATACTGGAGGGTTAATGAAAATACTTGTCGTATCCATGTTGTTGTCCTAATACGGTCCATACTAAGTCCAATTTCTCTCATAGGAATGTGTACGTTATGGACACCCACATTAATCACGTTCAACAGTATTGTATGTAGGAAAAACAGTCAAAAAATGTAATCATACACACTAAACAGAGTACAAGCTTCCCTCAAAAACCACAGCAGGATTTAAGCCTGAGGATTTGATAGCAGTTTACAGATTTCCAGAATGAAAAAAATTACTGGTCGTGTTTTCTGTGTTCATGGAAAAGGTTCCCCTTAGAACATCAGACTGGCTGAGATACTAAAAACTAACAAGAGAGAAACTTGAATCAGTCTGAAGACACATCTACATCTACAATAACTGAGTAACTGATCCACTTCATGTTCAGAGGAGGGTTTGTTTCACAGTTGTTAG